TCCTTTATAAAACAAAGTAAAAAGATACCACATGTATTATATCAAGAAATACTGTTATTTATTAGACATTAAGAGAAAGTGTTTTAAAATATTCATCAGATCTGTGATGATATAGAGACATTTCTAATTTTTATAACTATGATGAAAAACCTTGAGAAGAGTAAATACTATTTTGTAAAAAAATGTACAAATCTTTATTTTTCTGATCTAAATCTGTATATATGGGCAGGTGCTTGTATTCAGGCCAATGTCTTCAAAAGCTTTTGAATTATTTGTTTTTTGGAAAGGTGAAAAATCCAGGTCAATGTTAAATAAAACAGATTCATTTAAATATGCGAACTGATTATAAAGAAGTAGTTGGCAGGGCATGTGAGGTATTTTCTTGAAAGAAATGTGGATCATCTCATAGAATTGTTTATCATGATGTTTATTTCAATCATTCAGTGTAAAATAAAATAATTACATTCAAGAAATGAATACTGCTTGACAATGAGGTAGATTATTAAAACTTTGAGGTTTTATAAGAAGGAATTATTGACACAAGTGTGGTTATTGCTCATGCAACTGCTTATTTAACTTGATTTTTTAACAAAAACATATTTCTAATACCAGAGGAACTGATCATTTGCCACATTTTTTCAAATACAATTACCAATTTTGTTTCATTTGAAAGATGCATTTGATTAACACCCTGTGTCCATCAACCTGTAATTCTATGAGATGAATCGCCTGAGATGAAGGACGTGATGCCCTAAAATGTTGGATATCCGCCCTCCACATGATAGGATTTGTGCAGTCATCATCTTTGTCAATAATATCTGTGGACAAAAATATGATTTCTGAGTGCTCTGATCAATATTGGGAAACCTGCACTTGACATTATGATCCTTGTCATATCAAACATTTCCTTGCTAACCACCGTTTGGTTCCCTTTTCTTTTCTTTCTTTGGACTGAATATATTCTTGAAATGGTGTCACTCACTGTTTTGTCAGAATGCTACAAGTTGGTTGCATTTTCTGTTCTATACATCTTTATACTTGCCAAGTGTGATTCGGAGAAAAAATACAATATCTCCTCAGAGTTAAGAAAATATTATTCAGGAAACTAGCAAATTATAGACAATTATTGCATGATTTCAGAGAAAATCCAGCAGTTATTTGCCTAGAGGGAACATGAAGTAGCCATGAAGGAAAATGACCCCATGTATCTTGCAAGTAATTAAAAAGTAAGAATCTGTGATGATTAGGGTGCCTCGGTGCCATCAATTTGCCTCTTCTATTTCTTAATTTCAAAAGGAACAGTTAACTACTAAGGCGTTACCAAATGGAGGTGTTAAGATCTAAATCTACCACTGTAGATTCACTGTCACAGGCTCACAGATAGCCTGGTAAAACATCTAAAATGCCGTTCTAACAAGAACGGAGAAATTATGTTTAAAGACACAATCATTAGAAAAGTGGTGTTAATGGACATGGGAAGGCAGAAGCAGGATCATCTATTTATAAAGGTTTTAGGCTATCCGCCTATATACACAGTGGATATTTTTCCTTTTTGTGTAATAAAAAAGCCTAAACAGGCAATTTTCTAGACAAGTAAATGAATAGGTATAATGGTTGGTGACATTTTAAAAATATAAATGGACACATGGAATGTCCTACTTCTTAATAGTGTAATTTTGATGCACATGAATTCTGTCAACAGACAGGGTAAACAAAAATAACACTAGGAAAAGGGAACTAGACACAATCATTAAACACAGTCCACAGGATGCCATTCACGCCTAGCCTCCATGTCCAGATTATATTTTTGTATGCTTTTTGCAAAAACAAAATCCAGATGTAAGAGGCAGAATCTCTCTGAGAAGATAATTTCCACTTACAATGCAGCTTATCATTTTCTATCTCTCTCCTACTTCTTCATGTTCATTTTATTGATTCTTCTAAATCAAATTTATCTGCTCTCATTTCCCCATGCATCCAGATCTGTTGGTATTTCTTACTACTCAGCTTTTCACAGATTCCTGAGTTCTGTTCAACTTGCTCTTATTTTTATAAATGAAACATCTAAAGCAGCAACTAAGCCGCTGAAATCTTTCTCAGGTGGATGGAGAAATTGATATGTTGTATAACATGTAAATTTTCAGTCATATAATGGATGGGGATGAACTTCTATGCACACAGTGCGCAAGGCTTAGCCATGTTTGGAGACACATTACTTTGATTGCAGCAGTGCTTGCTGTTTGATTGAGCACAGACACCGTGAGCAGAGATAATTTTTCTACAAGTCATCCTTTATACCATCAATCTGTTCAGAGATGAGAAACTGACCCAGGCAAATGAAAGCAGATCACTTTGTCAGTGCAGTGGTAAATGGATGCGCTTCTGAGAGAAGCTCTTTACCTTGGGCTAAGAAGCAGCTGAAGATTTTCTGGAGTATGTGGCACCCTGCCTGCTAGAGCTCTCACAAGACAAATTTAAGTTATGATGCAGAAAAGTCACAAAAGTCTTAGTTGATAATCCTCCAGTGGGCCTGTGATGACTTGCAACTCAGCATCCAGCCCTGAGGATGAACAGTTACCACTTTCTTGGTTATATTTTTTTCTTCCATTTGTGATGTTGAGATTTGAACACTGGACTTTTTGAACGTTAGGCAAGTGCTCTACTAATTACCATATCCTTAGCTCTAGCTTTTGACTTTAGGACCATTATATCTGAAAAGCCCAGGTTTTTGTTTGTTGTTGTTTCTGCATAGCAGAGTGTTAACCCCCTTTTCAAAGTTAGCCTCCACTTAGTGATTTACACACTGTACTTCTTTAAATTGTGTGTGTGTGTGTGTGTGTGTGTGTGTGTGTGTGTGTTTGGTGAATTTATGTGTTCTTTTGTGTGCACTCCTGTGTGCATGTGGAGGCCAGAGGTAGAAATCAGATATATTGCATTCTCTCTCTCTCTCTCTCTCTCTCTCTCTCTTTCTCTCTCTCTCTCTCATAATGCACATGTACAAACACACAAAGAATTTTATTCTATGAATGCAGTATTATAATACAAACATATATTCATGAAATACACCATTTGGAACATTATTGCCCTCCTTCCTCCTATGTCTTCAACTTAAAGAGCTGTTATATTTAAATTACTTTCCAGACTATGAAATCATCACCTATCATAGTTCAACTCTTTGCTTTAGATAAAAGTAATTGGGCTTTTAATAATATAAAGAAGTACACAGTAGCCAGAACAACATTTTCCTGATCACCAGGTGTGTGTGTGTGTGTGTGTGTGTGTGTGTGTGTGTGTGTGTACAAAGGCAAGTGATATGTTATATACACTAGACCATTCCTGGTGTCAAGTTAAAAAACAGCAAATTTTCTGGGGAAGAGATTGTGTATACATGTGTGCCTTTTAATTCCCTAGGGAATCAAGAAATGGTTAAAAATACACTAGTCACTTGTTTTTCATACCATAAGTATGCTGTTTCCATGCTTTCCTGCAAAAAATAGCTGACCATGAGTTCACTAAATACAGTTGGTGCGACTAATAAAAATAAAGGGTACAGGGATGGTGTCTTGGCAAAGAACTCTCTAGATGCAGAGCTTATTATGAAATCAAAAAGAGAAGGGGTTCTGCAGCAGTGAGGCCCTCAGAGGGACTAAGGTTAAAGGAGTTTACCCGTGTTCCTGTTGAGATCTTATGTTTCCCTTCCCCAATTCTCAATAAGGCTGTCCCAGGATACAAGAAAGCTTACCTTCCCTATGAACTCTTCTGCCTAGGAGAACACATCATAGATAGTATCTCCCCTAACCGCACTAGTCCCTGTCTGCTCTTACCCTTGTCCTCCCTGAAAGTACTGAAACATTCATTTGGGAGTCAAACCCCCAAGCATCCTCTGCCTTTCTGAGCAGGTTCATGTTTCTACTCGATTCTGTGTCTCTGTCCTTGCTGATAAGGACTGCGCCTGGGAGCTCTCTGGGCCTGGGGTGAGGCAGTTGATCAGCCTAAGGAGCCAGAAACAAAGTGCTGTGTGAAGAAGCCTTTGTCAGCTGCAGCTGGTTGCTATGACCCAGGGCAAAGAGACAAAGGCTCTGGGGCCAATGGTTCTGAGTTCTGACCAGTCTCTTGCCACAGGTGTCTTGTTAAAGTGAAACGTTTTTCTACTCCACCAGCAAAATTCATGCTCTACTCCAGCCTCGGGTGGGTGAGGAGACCTAGCCTGACACCCCCTACCCCTATCCTTTCCGTTTAGGTGTGAAGGCTAGGGGAAGGCTGGCAAGTGACTGGCCTGGGAAATGGCCTCGGCTGGGTTTCTCCTTTTACATTGACACTCTAGGGGACGCAGGGATCTCCTAATGCTGCCCCATGACAGTGCTGAGAGAAAACCCCGAACTCTCCATGACCCCAGCCATAAGTCAGTTCCCACTGGGGACCCTTCACAACAATGAGTCTGGACTTAAAGGAAATACTACACATCTTTCTCGGTCCTTCTAGCAAGGAGACAGGCGCAGAGGGACGCCATAGGACAGTCGCTTCCCTCTGCTGCTGTGGAGGGAAGCATATGTCAAAGTAACCACGGCTCCAGACCCCTCCAGGTTTAAGCCTGGGGCAGAGACCCCGCCTCCTTCCTGGTCCTCTCTATAGGAAGGACAGCCAAGGGATGTTCCCAGGGTCGGACCACCCCAGCCCACAGAGCTCGGTGCGTTCGTCCGTCAGCAGTTCTTAGCATTCCCGCCACACGTGCAGTGCAAAGAGGCTGCGAGCACCCAGCCTTCCCGGTCCCTGGGGCTCCCGCGTGAGTGTGCATTGCCTGTAGGCTGCGTGCGGGCGGATCGACCTGGGCTGGTCTGCCTTCACCCCAACGCTTTCTGGAAGCCGCCAGGGCTTGAACCCGTGGCTAGGGCTCCACGGCGGACGAATCCCGGGACGCCCCTGCCTGGTGAGGCGGCCTTGCGGAGGGATCCGGGGCCGCGCCTCCCCGCCCCGTCACTTCCCTGCCGCCGAGGCGGCCGCTGCTGCCGCCGCCGCCGCCTGGATATAGTGCGGCAAGGCGCGGAGCTTGCAGTCACTTTGAGAGGAGGAGCGCGCGGGCTGCGGGCGGCTGGGGCACCCGGGAGCGACGTCGGGCTAGCAGAGGCAGCCGTGGCAGCGGAAGGTTCTCTCTCCAGGGCTGGACTTAATAACTTTGGAACTGTCCACCAGTGTCACGTCCTGAACATGAGCCTCCTCCTCTCCTTCTACCTGCTTGGGTTGCTTGTCAGTAGCGGGCAAGGTAGGAGTGTGCGGCTTTATGGCTTTTACTTTCCCTCCCCCTTCCACCCAGCCCGGAGAGGCAAAGAGCTAGGCACAGGAGGAATGGAATGAAAGAACCAAAGTTGCAGTGATTGCTGACGCTATTAGGATTTTAGCTCTTTCTTTTTGCTGCCCCTAAAATTCTATGTTTGGCTGAAAGACCGTTAAACAAGGGAAGAGAACATAGTGAATTGGAGAGGGGCATTGGTGTGAAGGAGAGCTGGTGAAACTGCTGCTTCTTGTGGGATTTTTGGCTTTCTTCTTATTTTTTTATCCGAAATTGGATGAATGTGTTGGTGTGTATTAATAGTTAAATATCTGAGGTTGCAGAAGGGAAGGGTATAGTCGTTTTACAGAAGCAGCAAAACTATCGTGATTAAACTCATTTGTCAAATATCTCTGTGCAAGAAATTCAATTCTTAGAGATTCTTTTCTTCTCCTTTCCCGTCTAATTACTGGCTATGGAGTGAGTGCTGATGGCTTATTTATGTTGAAAACTAACAGGGGCCATAGATTCTGTAAGACAGCAAATGGCTAAAACTAGGGTTGTGTTGCAGGCATTTATTGTGACCCCCCCACCACCCCGTGAATACAGCACAATTGAAAATCTTCAATTAAAATTACACCTGTAAGGGTGTGAGGGCTTGTGAAAAACTACTGGAAGCTTTTTATTTGAGGGGGAAGGGGGAAAAAAAAGCGTTTGTAGACTAACCCGAGGGAGAATTGTCTGAAGCGATCTCTGCTAATCTGTATCCAGATGATATGTATTTATCTTGTTTGTTGAGACAGGTCGCATCCACATAAAATACATTCACAATCAGTCGAAGCGTTTTCAACTGTCCAGACAAGTTTGGGCATTTAATTGGGGAAACAAAACACTAAAATGTGCGTTGGTGAAAATCTTTAAGTGAAAAAAGGAATAGGAGTGATTTTGTGATATGTTAATAATTGTAGCGAATGATGTATTATTTGTGCAGCATTTCCCCCAATAAATTAATAAATTGCAAGATAAGTTAAAATATCTTCACTAAATCAAATTCTAAGCATTTTCACCTCGTCTGCGTCACTCATGTGCTCCAGCAGGGGGTGGTAGAACTCCATTTTAAGCCTAGAAATGATTGTTTCTGCTCTTGCACAGTCCTATCATTCTACAGCAGGGCTTGACATTTTGGATGCGGAGCCTTCCTTTCTCTGCCCTTCTCCTCCCCACAGCTACAGTGTTAGTAGATGAACACACGATTGGATGCAGATTTTTATTTTCGGAAATAGAAATGTACATACTGGATATTGCTATTATTTATAAAGCGCCTGAGTGAGGTTCTGCTCATTTTTCTATCATAGAGTAGATAAAATTTCAGTTTCAGAAAAAAATGCAGATAGCTTCATCTGAAGGTACTATTAGTCTACTTGCTTAATTCATCACTCCTCTTGCAAAGATCAGCATGCACTTGTTCCCACAAGATATGAAGCTGTCCTGTATTTTTTTTAAAAATTATTTTTGGAACGCTGCAGTTTGTGTGTTACTGTTCATTTACAACATAGACAGATATTCCAGAATCCTATAAAACAGTGTGAGAATTTAAATTCAGTTTCAATTAAGTGAGTGTAGTGTAGAGAAATCAAGAGGCAAGTTTATGCAGATTTGTGGTCACATCATGGTGAGTGGTTTTGAAAAGAAAAGAATCTCAGTTGAGGAGTCTGTGCATTGATCATTGCAGATGCTAAGTGTGTTGGAATTTGGGGATTGGAGGGAGAGGTTGCAATGTTTAAGTATTTAGACATAAACAGTACACACAAACAGACACAATTTGCATCTCTTTATGTAACATATATTTAAAATTGTGATTCAGCTGATTTATAATCAGCACACAGGGTGGTTATACAGAAGGTCTCTGGAAAGGAAGCCTGCTTGAAGGGGAGCCCATATTCCCTGTGAATGAAACAGGGCAGAAGGATGGCATCTTTGTAAAGATCTCTCTATCTAGTACAGTTCAAAATGCATGGCTCTCTCAGAGCCATGCACGAGTAGCCCCAGAAACTAGCTTTTGTGTGAACAAACATGTAGTATCTCTGTGCCATGTGTTGTAATGAAGCTTGGAAACAGAAGTCCACATCCCAGAGTCTAATTTCTTCAGGCGAGCGTTTTCTTCTCTAATTAAGGATGCAGCAGCAAGTATCAGACACATCACTGGGAGGTGATTTTTTTTTTTTTAATGAACGTTGTGCAACACATAATTCTGTTTATGTTTTTCTTTTTAAATGGGGCCATGGAAAAGCTACCAGTCAGTGATCCTCATGTTTGCTTGAAAATAGTAAAGCCCCAGCTTGCCGGTGTATGTTTCCAGGAGTATACTTGCAGGGATTTTATGAAGCATGATTGAAGCTACTGCTTGGGAAAGCGGTGTGCAGTTTGACTGAGGAAAGGCCACGATGATGCATTCCCTTTTAAGTAGTCACAACATTTTGAACCTTAACACTTGAATGGAAGAAAATGACACGAGTGAAAAACCGACTAATTTAAGTGGATTACAATACCATAATTAGCTAATGAGGCCTAATTTTTACCTCCTAACTTTCAACCCAGTGTTATTGTTCATTCTAGTGAGAGGATTTTTTGTGGTTGTTTTTGAAATAGAGATGCTCCTTTAAAAGTCACACATTTCTATGGCAAGGTAATCACCTAATGAGGTAAGGTTCTTGAGTTGCATTTGATTTTAGTTGCCCCTGGAAAGAAATTTGATAATTCTGCAACTTTTGCAATTATTTTTGCTATATAGTTAAGATTTGGTCACAGGTCCCTGTTGTCATAAACCTCAAGTGAGTCTCTGATTAACAATTTCTTTGGTGTTTATGAGTTCAAATTCTCAAGCTGTGGTATAAAAGGTTTGCTTTCCTGGAATTTTTTAAATGTTTAAAATTATTTTCCTCTTCTTTTCTAAATCACCTAAGAATGATGAACAGCTGTCTGTTACTGTCATTCACACATGTACCTTGGAAGTACTACTGCTAAAACAGGCAATGCTATTTCTTTCACTTGCAACGAATGTCAACCACACACAGAATTCTAATTGAAGCCAAATCGTGGGAAAGGGTCTGTAATACTCACTTAATAAGTGAAGCAGGGCCTCTCCTCTCAATTATTCTTTCTGGGCAAATGCTCATAAGCCATTGTTCCTTAGAGAAATGTGCCTTCTAAACACAGAGTACAGGTGTGAGGATGTCTACTTGTCACAATTATACAAATGCCTACTCTGTCTAGAGGTGGTTATGCAGTTAAAGCCGTTCTTAGATCCTTTTTCTCTCTTGCTCTACTTCTTTGCCATCATTCTGTGTACCCAGCTTCTATTGAATTAATCCAATGTCCATTTCCACTTAGGAGAAATAGGCCCTATAAATTAATAATTTTTGTCAATGAGCAGCCAGAGAATTCCTGCCCATACTTTATGTCTTCTGCTCTCACTTTCATTTCTCAAGCTGAATCTGAGCCAGGTGAGCAAGTGGAGAAGTTGGAGAGTCCGGAGTGTCAGATGAGTGTTTTCATCCACGCAGGGGCCTGACGTTCTCAGTGGTAAAATATTACTGGAGAAGGAATTAATGGAACAAAAGAACCTCATTCAATAAAAGAAGGTCAAACTTCATATAATTTTGCAAATAAAATGGCCTTCTTTCCAAAATGAGCTGGTTTGTTGTGAAACAGAGAGATGAGCTCACCAGACTGAGCTCGTAACCAGGCTTAACTGGGATTTGTTTTTGGCTGTTTCCTTGTGTGGGAGCTGTGAGAACGGAAAGAGGATCGACATTCTGAAGGCTCTGAACCTGTTCCTGCTGTTTTCTCTGGCTTTTGACACTGGGGAAATCGTTTTAACTCATTTTTTTTCAGGGTCATCTCTCTTAACAACGAACTTCTGATAGCAGAAAGTGTTCAGTTAGTCATGGAGTCTGAATTTCATTTTCTTGTTGTTGCTGTTTCTTTATTTTGCACATAATAACTATTATCCTGTGTGGTGGTGTATGCAAAATTAATGTTCTTATAAAATAAATATGTTTGATTTTCAAATTTTACTGAATACAGAAGATTTTTAATTTCTTGCATCTTGATATTCTACCAATTATATGGAGACCAGGAAAACTTAAAAGATTATAAATTATTTTTAATTTTCCAAATTACATGATAGGAGAACACATTAAGATGCAACTAGGACTTTGATGCTTTTATTAAAAGCAATATTGTTCCATTTAATAGAGCTAAGCTGTCATTAATTGTTCAGCAAACACATGTACTTTTCTGTGCACCCTTTTAAGTATTTTAAGTTAAAAGATGCTAATACTGAAAAGAAGCCAGCATTTTCCTCGGCTTAATACATTCATTGTGCCTCTATCATTTCATCAAGACCAAGAACATCTTAAAGGGCTATGATGTCATAGGTCAGACTTTCCTAGGTTAAAATTAAGAGGGATAGGACAGAATTTTGAAAATATGTATAAACATAGCCATAAGAGATGGGTTTGAGGAATTTCATGCTGATGAAATGGTTCTGCTTTATTAAAAAGATATGTATCAGGGAGAGACCAGAGCTTTGACTCTGGTATCGAAAGGCCAAGACTACCAACAGTCCCTTGACCTTGAAGAAAGAACTGGAATGCTGACAACAACTAGTTGTTCATTTAAAATTTTAACATGAATGTATCCTATTAGTTAATCTTGATCCTGGATACTGAGGGATGATTGTGGAAATAGGTAACTTTAGGCACGATAGCATGTTATTCCAGGTACTTTTTACTTTTTTCCATAATAAGCATACAGATATAAGATGGTCTAGAAAGATATCATTTATGCATTTCTTTAAAATCCCCTAAAATATGCTTTGCAATTAGAAAATATATTGTAAATGTTGAGATTATCTAATTCATTAATGAGGTGGGGTGATTTCATTATATACTCCCTTATATATAATTTATTAAATGTTTGCTTTGTTCCAA